AGGGTAAGTGACCACTACAAGGGTCACTCAGTCAGCAAGAGGCAGAGCTGCGATTCAGACTCACATCCATCTGACTCTCATGTCCCCTAAAATGAAACAGAATTGAAGCATCCATTTGGTGCCCTCCCAAAGCACCATCGACTATGAAATGGTCATAGTCAATATACTATGTAACACATAACACATAAGTGTTACAGGGAGAAAGGACACCCTGTTCAACAAATGGTGCTGGGATAATTGGCATATAACACATGTAAGTTAAGAGGGCATGGTGATCAGGCCCAGTGCAAGGAGAGCTTGAGAGTCTCAAAGAGCCTCCTGGAGTTAACTCCGAGTCCAAAAATGTCCTCTAACTTCAATGGAGCCTTTGCCCCCACACAGGCCAGGGGCAGCACAAAGTGATGGTATTACTTTGACTGTGGCCATGTGGTGGTGAGGAAGCCCCCAACCCCTTCCGGCCTCTTTGTCTTCTTTAGGGCTCCATCTGGGACCCTGCGCACAGGGCCCTGCTGGTCTTGACTCTGAGGCGAAGGAGTAAACATCTCAGGGCTCTTTATTAGTTAATTTCAGAAGATGGAGCCTGTTTGCCCCTGGGGCCCATCCCTCTTTTATGGCCTCCAGCCTTTCTTGACAAATTCTAGTGACTGGAGAGAAAACCGCTTTCTACAGCAGATCATTAAAACACCACCATAAACCCAGGGCCATAAAATATTATTTGCTGGGCATAAAAGGGGGGTAGATTTTCCCAGAATGACAACCCAATCCCTGCTTTCTTCTGCTGGGAAAGGCGGCACAGGGATGGAATCATTCATAAATTCCTTATCTTACACTCTGCTTTGTGAATAATCCGGTTGGGAGAGCAGCCAAAAATATTGATTTATTTGTTCCACAGATTCAAAAGCATTTTTAATGAGTGGAGCATGGTGATGCCTTGCCAGTGTGTCTTTGGATGACTCAATCTGAGGCACACACCCAAATGCACACTCAGTTTGCAAGGGGAAACATGAAGTTCCACAAACGGGAGGTCTGTCGAACATGAACCTTCACAGACGGAGAGGCATTGATTTCTCTCCTTCCGACTGTCTGCTCATTTCCCAGCCAAACCAGTCAACACCATCAGGACTGGTGCTTACACCTCAGCCTGGCTTTCCAAGGCAGTCCCCATCCCTAGCCACTATTGAAGGGTCAAAGGGGATTTCACATTGGTTCTCCTTAACATCAACCTCTGAAATAATTCTCTCATCCATTTGCCCATTCATTTGGTTGTTACTACTAAGCATGTACTAAGTGCCAGGCACTAATCTGAGGACTGGGGTTCCAGCCATGAAAAATGCAGATGAGGTCCTGCTGACATAAGGCTTATTACTCCTGGGGCATAATCTCAGCACACTCATTATTAATATTATCAGATACAACTCACAACTCTTTATCTGAAGTCCTTGGGACTAGATAGTTTTGTTGGAAATTGGAGGAAAATCAAATGGGATATATATGGCTATTAATTTGCAAACAGCCCAGTGAGGTCTGGGGAAATACCCAGTAATCAAATGCATTCGTATGTATTCAGTGAAAAGTATTCTTTCCAAGTGGAATAAATCAAGACTATGTCTTGTCATGTGAGGTCCAGTTGTACCACCACAGGAATTTGAAAACCTCTGTTTTCAGAGCTGCTTTTTCTAGACAAGCAGGCATTGAGTGCCAGGTAAGGGCCTGACCCACGCTAAGAGTGTTCACAGATGTCATGTTTCGCCCTCACCACTCCCTGAATTTTCAAGCTCATCTCATTTCATTCTCAGTGTGCTTCTGCAAGGTAGACCATGCAATTTCTGTTTGCTGCTGTTGTGTGTAAGAGGGTTGTGAAGTGCTGGCTGAGAGGCTACACAAGATTTGACAGCTGGAAAGTGGCAGGGCAGGAACTGGAACTCCAGATTCCACAGCTGGCACTCTTAACCACTAACCAATACCGACTTCCACTAGAGGAAAGATTGCAGAACAGGAAATAGCACTGTTTAGGCTGTGTCTATACAAGCCAAGGCAATTGGAGAGAAGCAGGTGATTATCCAGATAACTCAGAAAATAGCCATTAAAAAAAAAAAAAAAAAAAGGTTTGTGGTTGGATAGCCAATGTTTCTAGACGGGCTGTAGGTGTGGAGAAAATTTCCAGGTTAACAGCCCTTTTCTTCAAGGAGTAGGATCGTCTACACGAATTGCCTTGGACTCCGGGACACTGGGTTACTAGTTTCTCCATTCTTCGGGAGCGCCCTTTGGCAGTCCCATTCATAGCCAGCTCATATCCAGCCACTTCTCAGCGCTACTGCACGTAAGGTGGGTCCCGGGGATCCAAGCCCGCGGGGCGGGGCTGGGGTGCCTACCCGGGAAGCACGTGCTCCTCCGTGGCCAGGAAATCTCAGTGTGCAGCCACTGGCCAGGGAATCTCAGTCTACAGCCGGGGAGAGGGGTAAGGGCGGAGGGACGCAGTTCTGGGGCGATTCGCCGCGCGGAGACCCTCTTTTTCAGACACCCTCCTCCGGTGGGCAGATCTCAGGTTAGATTCAAGGATTGTTAAATGCCCAGGGGACGCGAAGTGGTCAAGTCTTGGAGAAGGTTAGAGGAAGGGAGACTCAGGAGGTGAAGGGGAGGTGTCCCAAGGGAGCTTTGAGAACCTTAGAATCCCCCTCCTTGAGGCTGCACGAACCCCGGGTGAAAGAAAGCAAGGGGAGGGGGGTGCTACGCTGGAACGTCAGTCTCTGGCAGTTTGTGCGAAGTTCACATTGCCATCTTTGCGCTCCAGGAAGGAAGCCAGGGCTGGAGAAGGGTCCAGTCGGCTAGGACAATTAAGGAACGGGAAGGGGCTGTAGAAGGTGTAACGGCATCACTGGAGCCTGGGCCTGCGCACCCAGGGCTGTGGGGGTGGAGGTGGGGGAGGACTGGAGGAACAAAACAGTCACCACCCCAAAACACCTAGGCCGCGGATTTTTCCCCTTAAGGTCAAGTGCATGCCAATGGACGGAGAAAAGTGTGTGTGTGTGTGTGTGTGTGTGTGTGTGTGTGTACACCTTTGACAGCTGGATGATGCTGACAGCAGAAAATATTACGCTCCAGTGTGAGGCACTGTTTGGGGGGTATGGGGCCACCCCGTGTGCTGGAGGTGGCGGACACAAATCCACCAACCCTGCCCCTTCGGAGTCCCCAAAACCCACGGGCATCTGGAAGGGACTAGAAATTCCGGTGCCTGGAATCTGGTTTTGCTGAACTTTGCTATCTCCTCACCTGAGGGCACCCGCCAAGATCTGCGTGGCAGGACCACGCATAGCCCCTGGATGCTCTGGGCCGGAGCCAGATGAGCAATCATGCACCCCTGTACCCAAGTCGCTACTACTCTGGGGACGTTGCAGGAGGCGCGCCCCTACCCTATCCGTCAGCCCCAGGGCTTAAGTATCCCCCCCTCCCGAGGTAAAAATGAGGAGGTCCCCCATGAGGTGCTCTGTCAAGGCAGCCATCTCCGTGGAGCCCCAGTGGGAGACGTCTGGGAAAGGTGAGCGAGCCAAGGGGTCCAGCCAGGGAAGTTGGGGTTCAGCCTCTCGCCAGTCGGTGGCTCGGGAAGGAGCGTAGACAACCAGGCGGCAGGCAGACAGCGGCTGAGGAGTGGACCTCTCTCTTTCAGCAGATGCCGGGGGGATGGGGAACCTAGAGAAGGGGAGACGAGGGGGGTGTACCCCGCCTCCGGGCACCCCAGCCCGTAGTACGGCTTTAAAATCCGGCAGAGTTTGTCATAGGCCGGCCTCACCACGCATGCGCATAGGCAAAGTTGAGTTTTTTTTCTTTCTTCTCCCCCTTCCCTCTCTCTTTCCAGCCGCCCCTGGTTCTGAAACTTTAAAGAACTTTTTTCTTTCTTTCTTTTTTTTTTTTTTTTTTTTTTCCTTCTGAGAACACCAGGGGAAAGAGGAGTCTGGTGAGAGGGAGGGAGAGAGTAAGGCATTTGGCCAGAAGGGCCGGGGGGTGGGAGGGGGGGACGCGTCGCCGCGGTCGGTCAGTTTGTCTGCGGGGCACAGGATCGCGTGGAAATCTGCTGCGAGCTCCACGCAGCCGCCTCCGCCGCCCAGAGCCGGGGTCGGTGCGGCAGCTGCCCAGCGAGCCCTACTGCCGCCACCGTTGTGCCCGGGACCGCCCGCCTCCCGCCGGTCCGCTCTCCAGTCCCTCGGACCCGGGCAGCCTCGCCGGCCAAGGACCGCCGGAGCTGAGTCGCCGCCTCGGAGCTCCTTGCTGTCGCCCCTCCCCAGCCTCGCTCCCGCAGTGCCCTCGCTCTTCTTCGCCCTTCGCCCTGGAAAAACGGGGAAAAGAGAGATTAACCCGAAGAGAGAAAGAAGGGGATACGGGGGGGAGTCCACGTCTCCCTTGACTTGATCGCCCATCCCCCCCCCCACAGCTCACCGCACAGCAAAAAGTTCAGGGGCGACTTTCACCTATTTTGCGCCCCGTTTTTGCCGAACCCTAAAATGAAAGGACACAGTTTGGCGCTGACTCTTGCAGCTCAGATGGCGACTTGTGCGTTTTCAGCGGCATCTCCCGGAGAAAAAGCCATGCGCGTCTGATTGTTCTGTGGCCCCAAAGCTGCAGCGGGGGTGTGTGTGTTTGGGTGTGTGTCTGTGTGTGTACACAGACGTCCACACTAACTCGCGGCTGCAGGATCAGCGTCTGGGAGCAGACGTTTCGGCTACAGACCCGGAGAGGAGGAGCTGGAGATCAGGAGGCGTGAGCTGCCCAGTTTGCAGAATCCGTGGTGTGAATGAACTGGGGGCACCTGGGCGCACAGATTGCCCCCCTTCCCCTGCCCCGGGCCAAAGTTGACTAGTGGGACATTTTTTCACCCTCTTGTGAAGAATTTTTATTATTATTATTTGTTGTAAGGTCTTTTGCACAATCACGCCCACATTTGGGGTTGGAAAGCCCTAATTACCGCCGTCGCTGATGGACGTTGGAAACGGAGCGCCTCTCCGTGGAACAGTTGCCTGCGCGCCCCCGCCGGACCCGCGGCTCCCTAGTTGCGCCTCGACCAGGCCCTGCCCTTGCTGCCGGCTCCCGCGCGTCTGCGCCCCCTCCGTTCCTGGGCGCATCCCAGCGCTGCCCCAGCTCGGGAGTCCAGGCCCTGGCGCCAGTGCCCGCTTCAGCTCCGGTTCACTGCGCCCGCTCGAGGCGCGCGGGAGGACTCCGCAGCCCTGCTCCTGACCATCTCCCCAGGCTTAACCCGGCCGCTCCGCTCGGATTCCTCGGCTGCCCTCGCTGGGGTGGCGACTTCCTCCCCGCGCCTCCTCCCCCTCGCCATGAAGGTAGGTGTTCAGTGCGCTGCCTGCCGACTCTCGCCACTTTTTTTCTTTACTTTCCTCCCACCCCCTATTGGAAGTTAACTCAGTTTCCTTCACCTCTTCCTATCCCTCCATTTCCCCAACCTCCTGGAGAAGCTGGAACTCCAGCGTCGCTGGCAGGAACCCCTACCTCTTCGCCCCCCACGCCGGGCGCACTGCCTCAGTGTTCCAGGAGATCACTTCTCGTCGCACCACCCGTTCTGCAAAACCTTTTCGACTTTGGAGAAAAAGTGGGGAAGAGCGATAGTAGAAAAACTGAGTGCGGTTCACTGACGACTTTCCTTTTGCCCTGAGAACATCGAGTGTAATTTACTATGTATATTTCAGTAACAGGATAATGATTCAATTCAACAAATATTTACCAAGCGCCCACTGCGCGGGCACTGGGAGGGTGTGTGGCTGGGGTTCCGGATGGGGAAAGGGACTCCTTGGTTGGGAAAACCCGCGGAGGGACTAGGGGCCAACCACCCTAGAGCAGCGTACACCTTCCCCCACACCCCCCCGAACTGACGGAGGCCAGGTTGTAGGCTTGCCTTGGCGGGGTGACTCGAGCGCTTTAGGCCCCTTTGCCTTTAAGAGTGCCTGGTGGGGGGCCAGCGCGCACTCCGGCGCAGCGAGCAGGGTCGCCTTATTAGCGTTATTAGCAGCCACTGGGTGAGCTCAAGCACTTTGCAGCAGAGGTGGGGGCGGGGAGTTTGGTGGTAGCGGCTGTAATCCCGTACGCCAGGAGAGCGTTCCCCGGCCCCCTGAGCGGAGTCCGCCTTGTCCTTTAGAAAACACTCGGGCCTCCGCGTTGGGAGAGCGGGCGGCGGCCAGTTTGTGAACTCTTGTTTGTTTTAATTGTCAGTTGTATGTTAAAGCCGAGTCACACACTCCGAGGGTCACTGAGAGTTCACTTTTAGGAAAAGTTAACGTTTCTTCCTGCAACATAAGTTATTTTCTAAACAATTTTTCTAATCTGCCCCTCCCCAAGCTTCAATTCCTATTTGCATTTTTCTTGTTTTTCCCATTTTCAGTTTCCTGGAGAATAAGGTTAGAATTAAAATTAAGATGTGTTCTAAAAGCAAACAACCCCTCTTCCCCCAAAAAAGTTTTTTTTTTTGTTTTGTTTTGTTTTGTTTTTTAACTCCTAACTGAAGACCCCGCGGCCCTGTTTGACTTTCTAATCCCTGTCTGGTGTTGAGGCCCCTTCTCCTCTCTAGCCTCTCTTTTCTCTCTTCTCGCTTTAAATGGACAACTCGCTGTTTGGAAGTAACTTGGGCCTTGCGGTGAGATCGTACCTCATCAGCCCCAGCCCTTCCCCAGCCAACTTTCGCACATTCACCGCCCGAACCAGCCAGATACGAAGATTTAGTTTCTAGACCATCTCTGCTAGGGAGTTTCGAGGGGGTAATACAGAGAGTGCGCAGCGAACCATTGGCCGACAAATGTGGTGTGTGTCCAAGCGTATGGATCCTTGGCTGCGAGTGTGTGCGTGCGTGTGAGTGTGAGTGTAGGTAAGTAAAGGATCACTTGTTCTAGGGTCCAGGACGTACTAGCCTTCGTCTCCCCCACCCCCTTACACTCTCGATGGAAGACCCTCCCCAGGAGGCCCTGCCCCAGACTCCCGCGTCGTCTCCTCCCCTCCCCCTTGCGCTCCGGTGCTCAAGGGGTTAGCGCTGTGCGTGCAGAACTCTGAGCAGTCCCCGCCGCCTTTTCTTCCCCGCGGTGCGGTGCCGGCTGCCCCCTTTTGGTCGCCTTGAGGTAGGACGCCTACAAGCCTCCGTTCCTGGGGCGGGCGGGCAGCTGCTCCCCTCTCCCTCCCGCCCCTGCTCCCTTCATCCCTCCGACCACCAGACCCCACTCTCCCAGCAGGGCCCCTCGGAGGCCCCCGGAGGACCAGTTTCGCTGCGCCGCCGGCCGCTGCAATACGGAAGGGGCCACGGGTCCTACCCAGCAAATGGGACTCGGCCAACTGGACACAGGGTTGGTACCTCTTCTTCTGGGCTTGGGAAGGAGAGTGTCGCCCTAGGAGGCCTGGGGTCTGGCCTCAGCTGCCTCCCAGCTCTCTGTGGTCGAGAACAAATGTCGCTTTCCCGCCTTTGGCCTCACTTTCTTCGTCTATTAAAAAGTGGGAGTGAAACGACTTTTGAAGAATTGGGATTGGACTATCATTTTCTTTCTGTGTCCACGGACTCTGCTCTACCTCTGGACAAAGTTGAGCCTGTGCCGAGAGAGTTAGACATCCTGTGTGAGAAGGTGTGAGTGGTGTGTGTGTGTGTGTGTGTGTGTGTGTGTGTGTGTGTGTCCTGGGATCTGGAAAGCCCTGTCTAAGGGATGGACAAGGGGGCAGAAAACAGGAGAACCAGGCCAGACAGTTCTTCCCCTCGGGCCTCTCTCTACCCGAACCTGGAATCTGCCATCAGTTCTGAAGCTTGGGTGGCCAGAGGCTGTGCGCGTTTGTCGCACTGATTCTGGCTCCAGGTGTAACCTCTGCCTTCTTTTATCTAGCAGTTCCCTCCTCCCCACCCCGCTCTGCGCGGGCCAACACACACATTGCTGTGGACACAACCCTTGCGCCCAGGCACTAGGCGTGGGGAGCAGTGGCTCCTTTGTCTGCTCCCCCAGAGCGGACCTCCTTCCCGCCTGGGCCGGCCCATTCTTCATCTCCTCGCGCCGCTCCCTGCGTTCTCCCGGATAGGATGTCCCAAGTTCTTGGCTGCAAATGAGTTGCTCTCTTGCTAGTTTCTCCATCTCTCTCCTTGCTTTAGGGAGAGATCGGAGTGGGGAAACAGTTTTCTTTTTCTACCAAGAGTGGAGATTCTTTTTGGAGTTTCCCATCCTCCTCTTCGCTGCTGCGAGCCTGAGTCAAACGGGCTTCTTCCGCCTAGTTGGCGTCCCTCATCGTTTCCAATTCCAGAAACTTGGGCCCTAAACGAAGCCGAAGGGGATGCCTAGACTGAGTGTGGCAGCGCCCCGGGGCTGAGGGGTTAGGATCTTTGTGGCCTTTTTGTCTTTTCTCTTAAGGGGCTGCGGAGGACTTGGGTGTTGCGAGAGTTTAGGTGTGCGTCCAGCTGCTCCCCCGGCTCTCCGAGCGTCCCCTGAACAGTTTTGCTACTGAGGTTTCCTCTCCCTCATCCCTCATCATCCCCAGCCCACACCGCTGTTGATAAAGAAGGATCAGGAACACCTTTAATCCGACTTGAAGGCTTTGAGAGATAAATAGAAAGGGAACCACGCCGTTGAGCTGCTCTGAATTGAAGACGAGAGCGCGCAAACGCCCTCCCCCACCTCACTCCTCTGGTGCCTTAAGCTCCTCTAACGCCTCCAGCCTTCCTCCCCGTGGCACGGGAGGAAGATTCTCAGGATCCTTACAGAGTCATCTTCCCTGGGCCAGAAAGTGCTGGAAGACATTTAGCCCCTTCTTTGGGAAAGTCAGCTTCTAACCAGAACCTTTGTTTTACCTCTGGGGTGACAGTCTCCCCAGAGGGCTTATTTCACACTGTCTTTTCAGATCAGATCTCTCGGCAAACAGGCGAGGATGTTTTACCCTACAGAGCTGATGTATGTGTGAGTTCGCTGTGAGTTCCTTGAGTGTCTCAAACTTGTGGGGCCTTTTCTGGGTTGCACCGGGATTGAAGCGGGAAGAGGGCCAAGGTGTTTCCGGGCAAGCGGCAGGGGTTAAGTGGAGACGCGACTTGTGGGGCTCTCCTTTCCGATCCCCCTTCGGGACACCCCGTGGCCACCTCTACCTGGAGCCAGGGAGACCCGAGTCATGGAGACCGGATGGGCCCGCTCTCAAGTTGGCCTGGGCTCTGGGAACTGATGGACTCTCCCTGGGAGCGTCGGGCTGGGAGTGGGTTCAGTTTGTGTGGCTTCAGCTCTAACAAAGAGATCCGCTGTAATCCGCGGAATCTGTTATCAATTTCTGTGCTGCTGGAGCCCCGCCCCACGCGCCCCGCCCGCCCGCCGGGAAGCTCAGAAAGTGCACGCGGCCAGCAGCAATCTAGGCCGCTGACTGGGAAGCACGTCGGAACTTGTGTGTCTGTGCACGCATGTGAGTGTGTAAATGTGCACGAGTGTGTGTATGAATGTGTGTGAGCGCCGCATTGGCAGCCCTTGGGAGAGTCGACTTTGCAGCCTGGGCTTCGCGCGAAGCAGACCTTGCAGCCCACCCCCTCCCCTGGAGGAAACTTGACACTTAGGACGGGGGTGGGGAGACAGCCGGAGCCTTCTCTCTCCTAGCTGGGGAAGCCCCAGATTTCCATTCTCCAGGATGCGCCCCCCAGTTTTGTAGCATTTCGGGGACAACTGGGCCTTAGGTGCGGAGCCCTGGTTAGCGGGTGCTGGGGATCACATGAGCATTTACTCTCTGAGAAGCCCCGAAGTATCCGTGCCAAAGGGGCGGCTCGCAGAGAATAGCCTTGGCACGCTCCTGAGCCCCATAGCTTTACCAGGGCTGCCTAGGTCCCCTCTGTCCCTTTTATCGCACAGGTTTCAAACCAGGCTCTTCCACCGCCTGAAAGAGGCTCAGCTTTCTTTTCTTTTCCGTGGAAGGGGCTCCTTCAGGGGCTGCGGGCGATGCAGCGCTGCAGGGTTACACTTATCAGAGATGTGAAAGGGTTGTGGAAACCCGCTCCTCCCACCGCACCCGCCACCGACTTACTCCGCCGCCGCCTACAGGTGGAGAAGTCACCAGTGGGGAGGAACGGCAGCGGAAGCTTCCAAGGCCAACTCCTATCCCAGAAATTCTTCTGGAAGGGACCCTTCGCCGCCGCAGGGGGCCTCTTTGCCCGGGAATCGTTGCCCCCAGCTGCGGCTTGGGAACCTGCGCCTCTGGCCCCTCTGGACTAATCCGCAAGGGTTCTGGCCTTGCCCGCACCCCCTCCTTTCCGGACTGACTGACAACCAAGTCTGAGCTGGGCTGGAGAGGCTAGACTGGAGGCAGGGTGACAGAGTTCCAATGCCAGGCTCAAAGTGCCTCGATGCCGAAGTGGCTCACACCCCAGATCAGAGCCAAGGGAAACTGGAGTCCCCCCGGGGCCTCGTTTCCTCCCTCCCCGGCAGCTGCCAGGTGTGGGGTGGGAGGGAGAATGAAAAATCAGAATTTGGGAGAAAGTTGTGGGGAGGGCAGGGAAGGGATATTCTCTCGGGACAGAGACCCACACTTCTTTCCTCTAGGGTCCATCCCTTCTCGCAGTCCTTGGAGGAGGCTACAGATGACGGTGGGGGGGAGTCCGGGAGGGAGGGGGGGGCTCTTCCAGTTTCCTTGGTTGGGAGACCAGACCTCTCTCTCCATTATCCCCTAGGGCCCCCATCTCCTTCTCCTCCCCAATCAGGCTGAAGAGTGTCCTGAAGGAAATCCGGGCTGCTCTTCCCCATCTGGAAGTGGCTTTCCCCAAATCGGCTCGTAAACTGATTATGAAACATACGATGTTAATTCGAAGTTGCATTTCCCAGCTGGGCACTCTCGCGCTCTGGTCCCCGGGGCCTCGCCCCCCACCCCCTGCCCTTCCCTCCTGCGTCCTGCCCCCATCCTCCACCCACCCCTCCTCGCGCTGGCCACCCCGCCTCCTCAGCAGCCGCTGGCGGCAGCGCGCTCCACTCGCCTCCCTGCTCCTCTCGCCCGTGGAATTAATTCTGGCTCCACTTGTTGCTCGGCCCAGGTTGGGGAAAGGACGGAGGGTGACCGCGGAGGGTTCTCAAATGAATTACCGAGGAGGGACTGAGAACAGCACCAACTAGAGGGGAGCGAGGTGGTGCGGGACTCGAGCGAGCAGGAAGGAGGCAGCGCCTGGCACCAGGGCTTTGACTCAACAAAATTGAGACATGTTTGTAATCGCTGGCGTGCCCCGCGCACAGGATCCCAGCGAAATCAGATTTCCTGGTGAGGTTGCGTGGGTGGTTTAATTTGGAAAAAGAAACTGCCTATATCTTGCCATCAAAAAACTCACGGAGGAGAAGCGCAGTCAATCAACAGTAAACTTAAGAGACCCGGATGCTTCCGTTGTTTAAACTTGTATGCTTGAAAATTATCTGAGAGGCAATAAACATCTGCTCCTTTCTTCCCTCTCCAGAAGTCCATTGAAATATTAAGCCCAGGAGTTGCTTTGGGGATGGCTGGAAGTGCAATGTCTTCCAAGTTCTTCCTAATGGCTTTGGCCATATTTTTCTCCTTCGCCCAGGTTGTAATAGAAGCCAATTCTTGGTGGTAAGTTCATTCTATGTGCATGTTCTTCTTCTTCTTTTTCTTTTTTTAAGATTCATTTATATGATGCAGCAATATTTAAAGCTGGATAGTGAGTGTGGGTATATTTATCCAAGACACATGTATATATTTTACTTATATATAGTTTTAAATCAGAATTTTCTTTTAACTTAATACTGTAAAGCTTATCTTCAGCTCCTAGGGAATGGGAAACTATAAATTTAGGCCCTTTTTCTGTGAAGCCCTTGTTCAGATGTGTGCTTGTAGTACATCACGCAATAAAAAAGAACAGAAATTCACTTCGCTAATAATTGTAAGTCTACCTATAAAATTTGCTTTTTGCCACCTCTAGGTAGTAAAAGTGAGTTTCAGCTTTTATTTTCTGTCACTCGAGATTATTATTAACCTACAGAGTTTGAAGTGGGCAGAGTTCTAGGAGGACAGCTAAACTCCAAGTGCAGAAGTATTGGGGCCTGAAATGTGATCAAAAGGAGGTTAACTTGAAGTAGTCAAATGTCTCCAAGTGGGGGTTTCTTTCTGGTAGGGGCCTTGTGGATAAACTGTAATATATCCAGAGGATTATTTTTGATGGCGTTCTGGGTATTTTTTTTTTCCTGTAAATGAACAGCATTTTTCTGACTGTCAAACATGACTTCTGTTTACTGGATACCCTGTCTTGGGTCCCTCATAATCGCATAAGGAGCCCTTTTAAAATGTCCAGAAATGTGGTGAATTTTCCCAGTCTGTATACTTGTCCCTCTGTTTTTCCATCGGTCAAAAGGAACTGCTATCTCCCACCCGTCTCTAATTGTGTCTGCTTTTAGTATTCATAAGTTTTTAAGGCAGACTGGTCCAGTTTGTGGGGCAAAGCGAGTCACTCTCTCTAACATCAGAGACCTGTCCCTCAAACTGCTGTTTCTCCCTTTTCGGAGTGCATTTTGGAAATACTGGTTCAGGTATATGGTGACAGGGGCAAGGAAGGGAGTGAAAATACTGAGGAGCCAGATGTCAGGATGGGGACTGCACAATACCTCCGTTTTCTGAGTGCAGTTTAAACAGAGGAGTTTTATGAAGCCCTTCTCATACTTTGTCATGAGGACAAGCAGGAGAGGAAAAAGCATCTGTGTGCTTAAAACTATGTATTGCTGACATGCTTTCAGGGGGCCCACCTCGAGATTTCACGTAAATCTTGAATGCACATCTCCCCCCCTTGCAGGTCGCTAGGTATGAATAACCCTGTTCAGATGTCAGAAGTATATATCATAGGAGCACAGCCTCTCTGCAGCCAACTGGCAGGACTTTCTCAAGGACAGAAGAAACTGTGCCACTTGTATCAGGACCACATGCAGTACATCGGAGAAGGCGCGAAGACAGGCATCAAGGAATGCCAGTATCAATTCCGACATCGAAGGTGGAACTGCAGCACTGTGGATAACACCTCTGTTTTTGGCAGGGTGATGCAGATAGGTAGGAAAACATTTAAAATATTTTTTAAAACATTAATTTTTTTTTTTCCTAGAAGAAGTCCTTAGAGTTTACTTCATGCTTGATATAAAGCATGAAGGAGGATGCCTGCCCCCTTGGGTGGTGGCTTGAGCATTTTTGTCACTATAGCAAATGATGTTAATTCCTATCCCCACACCTGATTATAAGTTTTGGATTTTAACTGTATCAGGAGGTGAGTATCACAGACAGCTTCATTTTTCCAAACTCTTACTTTTTCTATAAAGCATTTTGTTTAAAATAGAAGCAGAACACTTATTCTGGTTTCTTAAAAGTAGATGGGGGAAAGCAAGTCATTTATATGCTTTTAAATGTCAAAACTCTCTTGCCTGTTAGTTTTTTAAGCCACAACTCAAATGGCCCAAACATCAAACTAAAAACTGCTCTCTTTTAGAATGCTGGATATATTGAAAGTAAACAAGGTTTTAATTTTCCTAATAGAGCTATTTCTTGAGGTGATAAAGATATATATGTTAAGAGCTTTATTTTTAGTCCCAGAAAGAATTTTAATTAAAAGTGATCCAATTTACATTTATGATTTTGGCAATGATATAATAAAAGCACATGCTTGGGATATCAACCTAGGAACTTAAAAGCAATTTTTAAGAGTATTGCTCACACTCTGGTTCTTCATTTTAAATTTATTGTTGAGTGTCTTACTCCCCCATTCAAGGAGATAGCATTTCAACTGGGCTAAAGGCAACGATTTTGAAAAATCTGTTTGTTTGCCTCTTCTTTGGTTTACATAGTATAGGATACTATTTGACAGATGTGGTCCAATGTGTGTTTTCTAGTGTGAATATTTTAGGTTTCTATACTTTTATGAAAACAAGCCCTTATAATTAATATGACTGCAGTGACTCCCAAAGTAAGAAGTAATTTATCAAGGTAATTAACTGTTTATACTGTCTGAAGATAAAAAGTTGGCTTTAATATCCATCATAGATGGATAAAATGCTTTTTTTTAAAAAAAAAAAAACCTGAAAATTACATTCATTGAGAACAAAAAAGAGTTGTCAGGGGATGTTTGAGCCAAGCGGTTTTATAAACTAAAATAATACAAGACTGGAAGCTGTTCCTCTGAGTGAATGGGAGAATGGCCGGTAGCCTCAGCCTGCAAAGTTTCATGGGGCTTTGTCCTTTCTGTTAATGATTAAAATGTGCTAATGTATATACTGGGGTCTGAATCTGGGAGTTAAGCTTCAGGAACACAGGAGTTTTCCTTGACTATGGGCTGTCTTATGTAGTTAACTGGGAGTGTGGTAGAGATTTAATTCTCCCACGTGTTGGTATGGTAAGTGAACTTAAACACTTTTGAAAAATTCTATGAGGATGGTAAGTTGTCAACATTTCCCCCTTCTTATATGTTCCTCCTAAACTGCCTTCCTCTCAAACCATGGGACTACTTTTTCACATGTATACGAGTTAGCAAAAATCATACACCTCTGATGGTAACCAGGAAGGAAAACAGCAATCGGAACTGTTTTTCTGTGTAGTCACTTGAACACAGCTTTGATTTAAGATCCTCCTCTCATTTTCATACATAGCCTGTTTTGGGCCAAAATGTTCAGAATAAGCTATCATTTGCTAAGTGAATTTGAGTTCTGCTGGAGATTTATTTTAAATGTGGTCCAAGATTCAAAGAGCCTGCTTCCTTAGGGAACAAGCAGAACCCTTGGTACAAAAGCCTATATTTAATTGTCCCTGGAAAGTATGCTTTCTGGTCTTCAGCTGCACGGCTCCACTGTCTGGGTCGATGGGAAGTGGATGGGAGTGGTACCTCGCCACAGCCTCTGAGACAGCCCTCCTAGATACTATCACCAAGTCAGCTGATGTCCTGGGAATATGAGAGCACATGCGCCATCCTCCCCTGCCTAAGGTCCCCCAAGTGCTTAGTGTCTCAGAGCAGAAAGCTGCTGCTAGGTGGCTTGTAGTGGGACACCAATGGGACCTTCTGTTTTTTCCTTATTTAAAAAAAAGATAGGAGAGAAGAGAAAACAATAGATTTTATGAAAGAGGAACATGGACCTAACTGCAATAGTGGGAAAATTTCTTTGCTTTCACTTTTCCATTTAAAAGTATATTTGAAAAGAATGAGCTAAGGGAAAATTTAAAACACTTTTGATGCCAAAAGGTGTGTGTGTGCCCACCCCAAAGCCCTTAGTACACCAAGGACATTGAAAGTAATTCTTCTTTGTGAGAATCTGACCCTGTGATGGGGCCACTGTCTGAGAAACTCAGGCTGCTACCTCTGACCCCCCTTCTCAACTCATTTTTCTAAGATGCCAGTTGCCTTGGAGGCACCGTGCACAATTGCTTCATGAAGGGCCCACTCTTCATTTTGGAAACTGTCTCATTTTTCATCACGCTACCCTTTCCTTCCAGCTTTTGTCCCCATCTGTCTCTTCTTTGTTTCCATGCTGTGAAAAGATATGTAAGGAAGGCACCATTTTTAAGGGGTGTGAGGATCCAAGTAGATGTGGGTTTCACAGGAAGGGAAACCTAACTGAATCAGCAGTATTCCAACTGGGATGACTGTATCCTCCAGTGATTAGCCAAAGAACACTTTTCAAACTGATGTTTACCCTGCAGTGACCAGTTAGCTTAAAGGGATCTCCCAGGTTTGTATTCTGGGGCATAAAAGGAAATGCTCAAGATAGACTTATGAAAAAAGAAGCATTATTTGTATTTTGCATAAAGCCTTCTTATGCTTTGTATACTCAAAGGGCAGTGTCTTATTTTTCTTTATCCCTAGAGGATCATTTCATCTCCTCTTCCTCTAGCTAATACCTTTTGTTCTGCAAATCCCCCATCCAGGGCTATAGTGTTTTCTGTACTGTCAAGTTACTCCCTAGAAGCTGTGTATTCTCCTCATTCCTTTCCATTCCTCTGATGTTCTCTGCCTGTGTAGTCCCACTAGATAGATGTAACTCATCACAGGGATGTTTAGATCCTCCTGCCAACCACCAGCACACACCCTCAAGTCATTCACTTTGAAAATACGGGAGGAGGAGGATATATGGTAAATCGGAACCATTACATTCACAAATGGCTGTGACTGGCGTGGAGCAGAAGACCAAGAATGAGGTGTCCTGTTGGACGCTTGAACTGGCAGTGCCGTCCTCCTGCAGAATGACCCTTCTCGTTGAGACTGAGTCCTCTTGTCAGCTGTTCTTGTGCTCCCTGCTTCCCCCTCAGAAAAAAGATTGTTAGCCACCTCTCAAAGTAAGTATAGGAGAAACTGATTCTGGTACACGAATTTCAGCACCAGAAGGGGTCCCATTCCTTGCATCTAGTTCAATACCCTTATTTTGCAATGGAGGAAAGTGAGCTCGCCCCCCAGTCCACCCCCACCCCAGGCTTCAGCTGGCTGGATGATAACCCTGTCTCTCTCAGAGTACGGTGTTTTTATTAACTGGCTCTTGTTACATGCAGAAATGTCTCCATGTACAAGTGAAGTTTAGGGTATTCTACAATAGCCTTCATTTTTCTCCTTACAAATAGGGTCCCTGTAACTATTATATGGGGAGATACTCTTTACGAGTTTTGGGGAAGAAGATGACTTCTCCCTTCCCCTTTTCCCCCCAGGTTGTGCTTTTTTCCTTCTTGCTGTCATTCTAACGCTTTGAGGCAAAGGCAGTGGGAGAATGGGCAGAGGGTGGTTGCCGACGCAGCATTAAAGAACAACAGGCTGTTCTAACAGCAGACACTCATTCCCGAATGAGAAGTATCAGGCCAATTGGCCTGGGATTTAAGAAGAGCAAGCTTCATTTATAACTCTCTATGAGCTTATTTAGAATTGTCCTCTGGGAAAGTAAAGAGCCTTGTCCTGAGAAATACTTTCTGCTGTGTGAAGGAAGAGGGAGGAGAGGTTACAACTGCCAGAGGAGGAGGGGACACAAGGCCAAAATGAGCATGGCGGAAACTGATGTGGCCGCTGAAAGTGTCTGCCCTAGATTCAAGGCCTAGCAAATTCTGTAATTCCGCCCTATGTGTAACTCGAATGCAAATAATACCGAACGTTCAAATAAGTGCAAGGAAGTCTCCCCGTATTCTGAGTGTTCCTTCAATGACTTCTTTCACGTGCATTTTTTTGAAATATCAAGTTTTGACTATTTTCAAAGGAGTTGTAGAGAAAATCAATCCAGCGCTGCTTAGAGTCTGGCCTTCAGCTCTGAAACGGCCGAGCAGAGCTGTCAGGGATCCCACGCTCTGTTGTTAATTGTTGCTTCTGTGTGTTTTTGGGGATCTTGCTTGGCTTCTCCTCAAGCTGGGCGGAGGGCCTGATGCATATTAGGGAGGCGGCAGCCCTTGTTTTTACCTTGTTGATTCCCCACTCCCTACCCCCCCAACCTCTATCCCCACCCCACAGCTCCCTACCCCTACCTGCGCCCACCTCCTACCTCTCTCTACTCCTGCCTCCCCACCTCCTACTTCCACCCGCCCCCACCTCCTCCATCCCTCCTTTACCCCCACCTTCTACCTCCCCCTCATTCCCTACCTTGCCCCCAGCCCTACCCTCGGCAGCGGCCCGGCCCGGGAGCTGGGGCAGGCGGCCGGTGACCCCATGTCCTCGCCCGCAGGCAGCCGCGAGACGGCCTTCACGTACGCGGTGAGCGCGGCTGGGGTGGTGAACGCCATGAGCAGGGCGTGCCGCGAGGGCGAGCTGTCCACCTGCGGCTGCAGCCGCGCCGCGCGCCCCAAGGACCTGCCGCGGGACTGGCTCTGGGGCGGCTGCGGCGACAACATCGACTACGGCTACCGCTTTGCCAAGGAGTTCGTGGACGCCCGCGAGCGGGAGCGCATCCACGCCAAGGGCTCCTACGAGAGCGCGCGCATCCTCATGAACCTGCACAACAACGAGGCGGGCCGAAGGGTGAGTGCCCCATCCCGCGCCCGCCCCGCCTCTCTGTCCCCTTGCCTTGCCCTCCAGCCTCCTCGGGTCTCGCTTTGTCCCCTCCTCTGCCTTTCCTTCGCTGTTTCGTTTTGTCTCTCTCTCTCTCTGTGTGTCTCCTTCTGTCTCCCTTTCTCTTTCTCGTCTCTTTCCTCCTTGTCCTGTTCCCGTTTTGGTTTTTTTCTCTCTCTTCCCTTTCCTTTCTCCTTCGCTGTCTCTCTCTTCTCCCACTTTATCTATGTTTTTCCTCCATCTCTCTCCATAGTTGCCCTTGCACATCATCCCATGCGCCCCCAGCCAAGGTGATCCAGCGGTGGTCTGAAAAAGACCTTTTCTTGCCTTTTTAATTCGTCCCCGGTGACTTTGGCTCATGGAGCACAGAAGTAAAAATGGGAATAACTTTCTCCCTCCTGCCTGTACGATGTCTGTGGTTGGCTTTCAGTTTGGGACAGGGAGTTATTTGTCTTTGTAGGTGCCCAGCTGGGAAAGCCCTAACCCCCAGCTTTCAGGCTCTCTTTTCCTCCTTTCTTTCCCCCTGCCTCTCTTTATGTCATTAGATAGCAGGCCTGATGGATGGAGGGTTTTTTAAAAAAGGGCAGTGAGGGATTTTATAGGTCTGACCCTCAGGCCAATCACAGAGGAGCTCTGGAGAGAAGCGAGCAGCAGAAGTGCCCAGGGAGGGCCATCTTTGCAGTCCTCACGAGTCTCCTGGTTCCCGCTCTTTCCTTCCCCTGGTGGGGATATGAAAAGCTACTTCTCAATAGTTAAAAAGACCCTTTTTTTCCTGCGGTTAAACACATGGCACTTTATGACTGCTTTAAAATGAAGGGGTGAAAACTTTTCTTAACTTTGGCAGCATTGAAAACCAGGGCCATTATTTTTTCACAGAACCCAAGGTAGGTGCCAGGAACTTTCTGGTCAGAGATTTTACTCTTCTGTATTTTGGGGTGAGAGAGAAGGAAGATAATCACAGAGTAAACCGTAGAGGACTGGATGGAGCCTTAGAAGCCTCTGGCACCACACTCTCATTTTAAAGATGGGGAAACTGAGGCCCAGAGAACCACTTAGTGACCATGGGAGAAAATTTAAGGTTGGAAATATAAGCCTAGGTACATTTTTATTGAATTCTTGCGTCACAGCTAAGCAGTAAAGAGCTAGCTGATTGGGAATTAGAGAAATCAGAGTTAAAATCCAGTGCTGTCTGTTCTTTTCTGTTTCTGAGGCTCAGTTTTCATATTTCCACATCTGTTAAATGGCCATCGCAGTAACTATCATATGAGGTTACCGTGAGGACTAAGTGAGATCTTCTAGTAGCTTGAACCATGTGAAATTGCCAACACTTGACTCTTTTTGACCTAAAAAATAACAATTTCATTTGGTTTAATCAAAGGTCCTAGTTTAGTGTCAGCCAGTAGTAAGTGCTTGACAGATGATAGCTACTAAAACATTATAAGCAAAGGACATGGAGAAGTCAAAGTTTGTGTAGATAATTCCAGCTAGCTTATCTTCTCAAATTTGATGTTAAACATTTGGGTGTATCAGAGAAGGACTAAACTCTGCAGAATTTTGCCTGTGCTGCCCTGAGGGGTCAAATAATTGCTGCAGACAGAGTGTGGCCTCTCCTTTCTCAGGCCTCTCACTGCCATGGTGTCTGCAGTGCGGGTTGCCTCTTCTGTGGCAGACCCAGGGCCACATAAAAATTGGGGGGGATCAGCCCCATTTTCTCTGGAAGCCCATGAGACCTTGCTCTCTCACCCTCCTCAGGGACGCATTGCTGGGGTCTCTATATACAACATGCCAGTGCCTCAGATCAGAAATGCCTTCAGAACAGAGATATGTCTGACTCTTTTTTTTTTTTTTTTTTTTTGAAACGGAGTTTCATTCATGTTACCCAGGCTGGAGTGCAATGGCGCGATCTCGGCTCACCGCAACCTCCGCCTCCTGGGTTCAGGCAATTCTCCTGCCTCAGCCTCCTGAGTTGCTGGGATTACAGGCACGCACCACCGTGCCCAGCTAATTTTTTGTATTTTTAGTAGAGACGGGGTTTCACCAAGTTGACCAGGATGGTCTCGATCTCTTGACCTTGTGATCCACCCGCCTCGGCCTCCCAAAGTGCTGGGATTACAGGCTTGAGCCACCGCGCCCGGCCTGTCTGACTCTTAAAGGCCCCTATCCAGGGGTATGCCCATGTTTGGGACTCTCATCCAGCTTTGGGACTTTCTTAGCCTTCTCTCATGTCCAGAAATCATCAGGGGCTTGGCAACCAAGAAGAGAGGGTCAAGGGATTTCCAAGTGGCAAGAGAGGATTGGGGGAAGTTGGAAAATCACCTATAATATTACACTTCTGCATTTTTTGAGCAGTGAGGTTTTTTGAGAGGGTAAATTTGATCGTTAGAATGGTAAGCCAAGTTTGGATTTTGGTGAGTGAGGTTACAAAGAAGACAGTTTTTTTCTCTAGGATGGTGGGGCTGGGGATGGAAATTTGGGCACTGTGCCAGGAAATCGTATTAGAATTTCCACGGGGCATTAGCTTTTTAATTTTCCTCAATGAGGAGCAAAGGTTAAATACGTTTGCAAAACCCTTCCTCAGACTTGCTGAGTGCCTGAAACTCTTTATGCCAAGAGAGTACACTTAGGACCCCTTTAAAAGAGCCCCTGTGAATCCCTGGAGGAAGAAGGTGGCTGTTCTCTGTGGGAGAGGCCTTCTGATGCGCTCCCAGCCTCCAGGTACCTGACAGGTCTTCTCCAGCATGCTCACACCACGTGGACTCTGGAGGGTCACTGGCACAAGGAACTGTGGGCAGCAGAGTCTATAAATAGGCAACCACCACCTCCCAGACTGCTAGGCACAGTGTTGTGGGGCCAGGCCCGTGGGCACTGCTACTGGGAGGCCCGAGGTGACTGGGCAAGGGCCAGATACCATGTCCTTGTTACTCTGGAGAAAAACCAGATTTACTGAGTGTGTCCCTTGTCACCCTAGAGAAAGACCAGATTTACTGTGTTCTGAGTGCCAAGAGCTTTCCACGTCTCCCCTACTTTTATCCTTATAACAGTGCTGGGAAGTTGGTGCCATCACTGCTGCCTTCAACAGATAGAAAACAGAGACCTGGAAAGGTGCAGCCAGTTGTTTGAATTCAAGGGCAGAGTCAGGCACACAATCCATGTTGCTTGGCTCTAGGCTGGGTGATCTTGGCCTGGGGGGTGATGGATGGGGTAGGGACTATGTGGGAAACAGGAGTGAATATAGGTGAGCTCCAGCCCAGTCCCCCTCCACACTCTAGCTGTGTGACCTGTGCAGGCCACTCAGTATCACTTTGATGTCATCCAGTCCAGCCCATGTCATAATGTTGCCAGATGGTTAAATGAGATCATGAATTTAAGGACATTTACAGTGCCTGGTGCACAGCAGTAATAGTAGTAGTGGGTAAAGATGTGAACCTTGATCCCACTGGGGCTGGACACTTCCCAGTTCGGCACTTACCAGCTGGATATCCATGGGCAAGTCACGGAGCATGGGCTTGGAGTCCTGCTGCCTGGGTTCAAATCCTGGCGCCCTTACTCCCAGGGGTTGGGTGATAAGCTCATCTCTCTGGGTGTCACTTTCCTTCTCTGTGAAAAAAGGAATGATACTAGCACTTCTCACATAGCTAGTACTGGGAATTAATTCAGGTAATGCATTGTGAACAACCTCTGGGATGAAAGTCCACGTGTTGCTGCTGCTGTTTCTCTGAAAAAGAAAAAGCAGCTGGAAAAATCTTTCCCCCCTGTTCCTATTGAAAAAAACCACAGTTGTTGATGATTCTGTAATAATGAGTGGCTAAGAACGTATTTATTTGGAAGAGGTTTTTTTTTTTTTTTACTTGTGGTTGAGACGGAGTTTCGCTCTTGTTAACCAGGCTGGAGTGCAATGGCGCTGTCTCGGTTCACCGCAACCTCCGCCTCCCGGGTTCAGGCAATTCTCCTGCCTCAGCCTCCTGAGCAGCTGGGATTACAGGCACGCGCCACCATACCCAGCTAATGTTTTGTATTTTTAGTAGAGACGGGGTTTCACCATGTTGACCAGGATGGTCTCGATCTCTTGACCTCGCGATCCACCTGCCGCTGCCTCCCAAAGTGGAAGAGTTTTTAAAGGCGGCAACTCAAGACTTTGGTAGTGGAGGATGAAAGAAAAATAATACAACCCTTAGTTCAGCTGGGAACACAGCTCCGTGCAGAAGGTCAAGGAGAACTTTGTTCCCATGGCCTGCATCTGTCTCCTCCACGAATGTGTGTACTAATTGTCCCCATTTCCCTGCAGACGGTGTACAATCTGGCTGATGTGGCCTGCAAGTGCCATGGGGTGTCCGGCTCATGTAGCCTCAAGACATGCTGGCTGCAGCTGGCGGACTTCCGCAAGGTGGGTGATGCCCTGAAGGAGAAGTACGACAGCGCGGCGGCCATGCGGCTCAACAGCCGGGGCAAACTGGTGCAGGTCAACAGCCGCTTCAACTCGCCCACCACGCAGGACCTGGTCTACATCGACCCCAGCCCTGACTACTGCGTGCGCAACGAGAGCACGGGCTCGCTGGGCACGCAGGGCCGCCTGTGCAACAAGACGTCAGAGGGCATGGATGGCTGCGAGCTCATGTGCTGCGGCCGCGGCTACGACCAGTTCAAGACGGTGCAGACGGAGCGCTGCCACTGCAAGTTCCACTGGTGCTGCTACGTCAAGTGCAAGAAGTGCACGGAGATCGTGGACCAGTTCGTGTGCAAGTAGTGGGTGCCGCCCGGCACTCAGCCCCGCTCCCAGGACCTGCTTATTTATAGAAAGTACAGTGATTCTGGTTTTTGGTTTTTAAAAATATGTTTTATTTTTCCCCAAGAATTGCAACCAGAACCATTTTTTTACTGTTACCATCTAAGAACTCTGTGGTTTATTATTAATATTATAATTATTATTTGGCAATAACGGGGGTGGGAATCAAGAAAAATATTTATTTTGTGGATCTTTGGAAAGGTAATACAAGACTTCTTTTGATAGCATAGAATGAAGGGGAAATAACACATACCCTTACTTAGCGGTGTGGACATAGTACACATCCAGAAGGTAAAGAGATACATTTTCTTTTTCTCAAATATGCGATCGTATCAGATGGGTAGGATCCAGTTGAAAGAGAGTGGTAGAAATCTATTCATGATTCAGCTTCTGTGACCAAAATGAGTTGTAGGTTCTCTGGTGCAAGATAAAAGGTCTTGAAAACAAAAAACAAAACTTCCTTCCCCAGGGGCTGCTAGCTTGCTTTTTGCATTTTCAAAATAATAATTTAAAATGTAAGAACAAGAATCTCATATTCTCAAGGAAAAAAGGTATATCACATTTCTTATCCTCCTCAAATATTCTATTTGCAAATGGTCATATTCTAGTAACTCATGAAATTTGGGGAGCAGGGAGTAAAGTCCCCAGAAATTAAAAAATTTAAAACTCCTATATCAAGATGATAATTTGAAGCTGTTACACAAATTAGGATTTCGGATTGGAAAAAGATCCCCAGATAATCCTGGACACTAGATTTTTTTTTTGTTTGGGGAGGTTGGCTTGCATATAAATGAAAATATCCTGTAATTTTCTTAGGGATACTTGGTTAGTAAATTATAATAATACAAATAATACATGAATCCCATTCACAGATTTTCAGCCCAAGCAACAAGGTAATTGCGTGCCATTTAGCAGTGCACCAGGGCAGACAACCTATTTGAGAAAAAACGTGAAATCCATCTTCCTCTTCACACTGAGTCCTCTCTGACTCCTCTGAGCTGCGATGTGATGCTGGCCATGTTTCCAAACGGCAGCTCCACTGGGTCCCCTTTGGTTATAGGACAGGAAATGAAACATTAGGAGCTCTGCTTGGAAAACAGTTCACTACTTAGGGATTTTTTTTTTTCCCTAAAACTTTTATTTTGAGGAGCAGTAGTTTTCTATGTTTTAATGACATAACGTGGCTAATGGAATTCACAGAGGTGTTGCGAGTTTCACTGTTATGATCCTGTGTTTAGATTATCCACTCAAGCTTCTCCTATTGTACTGCAGGTGTACCCTAAAACTGTTCCCAGTGTACTTGAGCAGTTGCATTTATAAGGAGGGAAAATGTGGTTTAATGGTGCCTGATATCTCAAAGTCTTTTGTACATAACATATATATATATACATATATATAAATATAAATATAAATATATCTCATTGCAGCCAGTGATTTAGATTTACAGTTTACTCTGGGGTTATTTCTCTGTCTAGAGCATTGCTCTTCACTGCAGTCCAGTTGGGATCCTTCCAAAAATTTTTGAGTCTTGAACTTGGGCTGTGGCCCTGCTGTGATCATACCTTGAGCACGACGAAGCAATGTTGTTTCTGAGGAAGCTTGAGTTCTGACTCACTGAAATGCATGTTGGCTTGAAGATTTCCTTTATCTTTCTTTCCTGCTCCACCCCTTTGTCTCCAACCTCCATTTCTGTACACTTTGTGAAGAGGGCATTACTTGTTCGTTATAGACATGGATATTAAGAGATATTCAAAACTTGGAAGCATCAGCAATATTTCTCTTTTCTTAGTTCATTCTGCAGAGTGGACCCGTGCCTATTAGAAATGGTAGTACTTATTAATTGAATCCCTAAAGAAAATTCAGCCCACTACATAGCTAATTTTTTTTTTTTTTTAAATAAGGATATCGCTTTCCAAAAAGTGCCATCAAATGTGTTCTTATCTCAAACTTACATTGTTTTAAAAGTTTGGAAAGATACACATCTTTCAGACCCTTCTTAGGCAGGGCAGCTTTTATATCACCTTAGTCAACTGTGGCTCTTAATTTATTGCATAATGATATCTACTTCCCCTCAGTTGCAGTGAATGTCGAGCAAAAGATCTTGAAAGCAAAAAGCACTAATTAGTTTAAAATGTCACTTTTTTGGTTTTTATTATGCAAAAACCATGAAGTACTTTTTTTATTTGCTAAATCAGATTGTTCCTTTTTAGTGATTCATGTTTATGAAGAGAGTTGAGTTTAACAATCCTAGCTTTTAAAAGAAACTATTTAATGTAAAATATTCTACATGTCATTCAGAATTATGTATATCTTCTAGCCTTTATTCTGTACTTTTAATGTACATATTTCTGTCTTGTGTGATTTGTATATTTCACTGGTTTAAAAAACAAACATCGAAAGGCTTGTGCCGAATGGAAGACAGAATATAAAATAAAACGTCAATTGTATATTGGTAAGTGGTTTCAATTGTCCTTCAGATAATTCATGTGGAGATATTTGGAGAAACCATGACGGATAGTTTAGCATGACTACATGTCAAAATAATAGCAGAGTGGGGAATTTTACCAAAACCAAACTATTTGGAAGCTTCAAAAGATTTCTATATGTAACGGAAAAAAAGGGGAATTCTCTTTTCCTATATATGTTCCTCAAAAAAAAAAAAAAATCAAGCAGATGGCTTAAAGCTGGTTATAGGATTGCTCACATTCTTTTAGCATTATGCATGTAACTTAATTGTTTTAGAGCGTGTTGCTATTGTAACGTCCCAGAGAAGAATGAAAAGGCACATGCTTTTATCCATGACCAGATTCTTAGTCCAAAAAAAAGTTATTTTTTTTGTGTTTACCACTGCAACTATTGCACCTATTTGAATTTACTGTGGACCACGTGTGGTGTCTCTATGCCCTTTGAAAGCTGTTTTTATAAAACGAAAGACCCAGTCTGCAGAGAATGAAAACTGGTTGGAAACTAAAGGTTGGTTGTGTTAAGTGCAATTAATACAAGTTCTTGTGCTTTACAAAAATGTACACAGAAATCTGGACGGTGCTACACAGATTGATACATTCACCTTTGCTTTTTCTCTTTCCCGATAACCTTGTAACATATTGAAACCTTTTAAAGATGCCAAGAATGCATTATTCCACACCAAAAAAAAAAAAAAAAACCAGTAGACCAACATATAGAGAGTTTAAAATAGCATTTCTGGGCAAATTCAAACTCTTGTGGTTCTAAGGCTCACATCTGTTTCAGTTTTTCCTCAGTTGTATATTGACCAGTGTTCTTTATTGCAAAAACATATACCCGATTTAGCAGTGTCAGCATATTTTTTCTTCTCATCCTGGAGTGCATTCAATATCTTCCCAATACAGGAAAATTAACAAAAAATTTCTATATAGACAGCAGCAAAAGAGCCATGTTCAAAATAGTCATTATGAACTCAAGTAAAAAGAAGACTTTTAAGTTTTAATCCAGTTTATCTGTTCAATTCTTTAAGCTACTGACCTCCTGAGACTGGCACTGTGTAAATTTTAGTGGCCTACCCTAGCTCTTTTCTCATATGATTTTGCCAATACCAAGTTTCAATTTGTTTTTACAAAACATTCAAGCCACTAGAATGATCAAATATAATGCTATAGCAGAGTAAGTACTCTAAATAAGAGACTGGAACTAGCTAACTCCAAGAGATCATTAGCAACATCAGTCCACAAAGACGGAGTGGCCCATGAGATATAGAGAGATAGATAGAGGGAAAAGGTAGTTATAACTTGAAGCCTATATTTAATGCAAATATGTACCAAGGCACAGGTCTAAAATATTACATTGTCACTGTAAACTACACTTTTAAAATATTTATTTTTTTAAAAAAGTATTTTCTAGTCTTTTCTCTCTCTGTGGAATGGTGAAAGAGAGATGCCTTGTTTTGAAAGTAAGATGATGAAATGAATTTTTAATTCAAGAAACATTCAAAAACATAGGAATTAAAACTTAGAAAAATGATCTAATTTACCTGTTCACACAAACTTTACCCTTTGATGATTGGATATTCTATTTTAGTGAAACATCATCTTGTTAACTAACTTTAAAAAATGGATATAGAATGATTAAAGGTTGATATGATTTTTTTTAATGTATCAGTTTTAATCTAGAAGATTGAATTACAATGCTTTCTCAGTATTTTAAAAGCAAAAAAGGAATGGAGGAAAATTGCATCTTAGATCATTTTTATATGCAGTGTACAATTTGCTGGGCTAGAAATGAGATAAAGATTATTTATTTTTGTTCATATCTTGTACTTTTCTATTAAAATCATTTTATGAAATCCAGTGCAGTCATGTGTGTGTGTTTAGCAGAGAGAGTGTTCATTGAAGTTTGATGTGGGCACGGATTATGGCTTAGGGCATTCAGAAAAACACACATACATTTCAGGTATGTAGATGGTAGGATGGTTGAAGCTCAAGGATGTATTTTGCACTTTAGTGCTCATTTTTCTTTTGCTTATTGCTGACTTTTTCATATCTGCTCTGCTGCTGTTAATCCTTGAGAGTTGTAGTGAGATTATTGTGTTTTTAGTGTAGGCATTTAACACAGTGAGATGGGACTACTAGGAAATTCTAGGGCAAGGGAAGAAAAGAGTGACGAGAGAAATAAAACCATGTTCAAGATGAACAGCGTGAACCACCACCTGGAATATTCTGCTGGTGGCTTTTTTCATCTTGCAACAGTTGCCAGTCAGGGCTTTAGATTTGGTGCCAGTTGCTCCATCTTGGCACTATTGACATTTTGAGTTGGACAATTCTTTGTTGTAGGGATTGATCCCGTGTGATGTCCAGCAGCATCCCTGGCCTCCACCCACTAGATGCCAATAACATTCTTCCATTTGTGACAATCAACAATATCTATAGAAATTGCCAAATGTGCCCCAGGGAGCAAAATCACCTCCAGTTTAAAACCCTGACTTTAGTTAGAGAGAGGGACTGAGGTTTGAGCAGTTGGGAAATACTGGCTGACCACCATGGTGGGCTGCTGCTTGCCGAGGTTGACTCATAAGTGAGACAAGTCCCTCGGGCGGGAGTTTCACTGTGTAGAGTATGGAGAAGTGGCATCTCTTCCAGGGAAGCCTGGCTTAGCAGTTAAGAACACAGGCTCTGGAGTCAAATTGCCTGGGTTCAAATCCCAGTACCCCTTTCACCTTGGGGAAGTTGCATAACCTCATCCTGCTTCTGAGCCCTTTGTCTTTGAAATGAGAGCATTGCTCTCTACCTCTTCAGGCTGTTGGGAAGATAAATTAACACTTAGGGAGTGCTTAGAGCATGTTCTGCTACATAGTAACAGCTCAATAAATGTGAGCTGAGAGAGAAAGGTGTTGAGGAAAGGAACACTGGAATAAGTGAGAAGGCTGACCCAAGGCAACGTGGGGTGAGTGCTTTTTAACACACCTGACACTATGGACACTGCACTGGGAAGGCACACTAGTGTTTTAGGAGGCTGCAAACTTATGGCTTGCTGTCTACATCACAGCTCCAGATGCGTTTTGTTTGACTGGCATAGCATTTAAAAAATGAGTTGCCAATATTTAAAAGATGAGTATTTTCACATTAAAATTTGGATTTCTGGCTTGAAAACACGGGGAGAGCTAGTCACCTGGGAGCATGAGTCACAGGTCCCACGTAGCAACAATCAGCTGGATCCAAGCAGGTGCTACTCCCTTTTAGACAGGGCTAGGCATGTCTAATTAGCCAGTCATTTATGTCACCTAACTGGCCCCTGTGGGCTTTTGCATTTATAATAGTTTTTAGAAGTGTTTTCCCTCTAAGAGTTTCTCAGCCTAACTACTGTCGGCATTTTGGGCAGGATAATTATTTGTCATGAGGGCTGTCTTGTGCATCATAGCATGCTGGCATCCACCCACCAGATGCCAATAGCACTCTCCCATTTGTGACAACCAAAAATGTCTCTAGACATTGATGAGTGTCCTCTGGGGGGCAAAAACTTTCCAGGTGAAAACGACTGGTCTAAACCAAAAACATCTGTACATATTTATAAGCTAGCCAGTAAGGCTAAAACAAAGAAATAAACAAAAATTAGTTTCTTGGTGTAAAGAATGCCTGGCATATCACAGAAACACAATAAATATTTAATGAATGCATGAAAAACACAACCATTCCCAGGTTTCAGCCACACTACTCACTTGTAGTGTGGCCTTGAACAGATTCTTGACTCTCTCTGAACTCAGTGTCCATAGCAAGAACATGGGGACAGAAGCCACTGCCCAATTAGGCTTGATATTTAAATTATATGATAGAACCTGCAACAGGCCACCTCCAAAGCCTAATGATAGTAGCAATTTAATAAGAGACGGAATTTGTTTTAAAAACAAAGATAATAAATTAACAGTGAAATGTTTCTAGCCAGCCTGCCCTGCATAGCTAATAAATAGGAGCTCCATTTTGCAAAGCTTGTTGTTGAGTTGCAGTTTCCCAAGAGCATTCTATCAGTCACAGACCCAAAGGATGCTCAACAGGAAGTGTTTCATGGCCAAACAAGTTTGGGAAATGAGGACTGATGGATCCTTGCCCCTCTGAGACATGTGATGGTCCTCAGTATATTGTTAATGCTAAAATCAAAGAACTGCAAGAAAGAGATCTATTCTTTAACTCGGAGCTAAGTTGACTTGAGTTTTTGACTTTTGTTCATGGGATACCTGTTAGTGATAACATCCTCTGGGCAAGTTGGGAAGTGCTAGGGTGGAGCACCTGCTCTCTGGCAGGTTTTGTGGGCATGGGCTCTCTTGGGGTCAAGAGCTGCCTGGCTTGACATTTATGGCTGCCAAAATAGGGAATGCTACCTGGTGACATGTCTGTTCCTTTTGCTAATGGAGGGCTGGTCCCAACTGATGGTTAATCTGCTTATTTACAGCCTGGGTGATTGGGATGGGGAAGAATGTGCTCTGGGAGGCAACAAGGAGGCTCCTAAGACATAACTAGACCTAAAGGTGGGAGAGAAGAAGAAAGAAAAAGCAGAAAGGGAGTAGAAAAAGGGGGAAAAGGCATAAAATGCAAAGAAGGCAAATGAGGGCTGAGAAGATCCAGCTGTCCTCTAACCATGACCTTCAGACAAATCTCACTTCTACTAGTAAAAAAAAAATTACAGTGGTTTAAGAAGGTAATATTTAACAAGCATTTCTTCTGTGCCTGGCACTTGGCAAGGATTTTCTGTTTCATCCCATTTCAGTAAGATTACCAAGAAATTTTTGAGATAATATTGTTATCCTCATTTTAAAGATGAAGAAATGGAAGATTGGAGAGCGTAAGTCTAATCCAAGAGTCCATTTGTCCAACAAAAAAGCATGCTCTCCCTTTATCAATGTGGCTTTGATCTCACCTAACCAAAGACTACATTTCTCAGGCTCCCTTGCATCCAGGTATGGCTAGAGGACTAGTTACCACAAATTGAAGGTGGGTAGAAGTGAAGTGTGTCAGTTTTGAAGTCCAGATTTTTGAAATGCCAGTGTGAGTTTTTCACTGCATCGTTCCCTTCCACCAGCTAGGAGCAGACAACTCTGAAGTCCTAGGGGATGATGGGGCCACACATGGAAGAAATCTGGATTCTTGGCTTACCAAATGGAAGAAAGCCAGCAGCTGACCAGAAACTCCTTCCTTAGACAGTTGAGGGACTACATTATAAACTTCTATTTTACATTAAGTCAGTACTATTTTGGAGCTTGATACAGCAATTAGTAATTCCACCAAACACATTGTTTCTCCTAGTACTTCCCAAGGTTGTTATTGAGTCCCCAAACTCATTGGGGGTCCCCTAGCCAGAAGATTTATAGATCGGGAAGGTCCCTTGCAGGCCATCCCACCCCATCCCTAGGGTTCACGGGCTCCTGAGAGGTAAGCCATTTCACCTGGAGAACTCCATCCCCTGGGAAATTCAGACACATCCTGACTGGCCATACTCAGTATCCAAAGGGCTCCTTCCTCCATCAGCTGGGGTGCCTCCCTGCCATCTAAGCAAATGGGCCTCATTCCATCAAGTAAGCCCTTTTCCCGATTCTGACATAACTCCCGTGTGATATGGGGTAAGTCTATTATCCTCACTGAGCCTCTGATTTTTTGTTGTGGTTGTCATTTTTTCTCTAAG